AAGTGAAAATAATTGATTAAAAATTAATAGATGCTGTTGTGTCTGGTGTATCTATTTTATCTACTGGCATGTGCCACATTTCCTCTAGTCCACCACAATTTCAGCAGCCACACAGCCCCTGGTTCAACCACTCTGTGACTCGACTGCAGCACAGCCCTCAGCTGGTTTTCCCTGGGTGAGAGGCTGAATGGACAAACAGGAACCCTCTTGTAAGGAGATGAAAATAATCCTAAACTGACTGAAAGAAATTGAACTGCGGTAATTCACAGAAATGCCACGAGGTGGCAAGTTAGGATTGCATTAGGCACCTTGTACTCACAACTGCAGCGAGGGAAAAATCAAACTGCAATGGCTGGGATGGGAAAGGTGCGTTCATGAGAACAGCTTATGCAAAAACACCTTTGAATAATAACAATAATTTTGGAACGATCTCCTTTCTCTGTCTTTGAATTTAGCAAGATTCTCTTACACACTTCTCCATGGAAAGGGTTGTCAAGCCTTGGGACAGGTTTCCAGGAAGGTGGTGAAGTCTCCATCCCTGGAAGTGTTCAAAAAATGTGGATATGGCAGCTGAGGACATGCTTTAGTGGGGAGCATGGAAAGTGCTGATGGATGGTGATCCTAGAGGCCTTTCCAACCTTAATGATTCTATAATTCTATTTCCTCAATGGTTTCTGTTTAGTTCTAAATAATTACAAAAAGAACCTCATATCACATTTTTAAAATACATAATTACAAAATATACACGACCACTCACTTTCAGTGAAATGGATCCAAAACTATGTGATTCAACTGCAAGTAAATGTTTTGCCTTTTTTTTCTTGGGGACCAAGCCAGGGTAACTGTGCAAATACGTGCCAGGAAATGTTCAGCATCTGCATGCACATATTTGTATCTGAGGGTACTGAGGATCTCCAACCTGAACCAAAATTGCTCAAGTGCCAAAAATCCCATTATTTTCCTGGTACTCTGCATTTTTCCCACAAGGGAGACTCGTTTGTGCCTATAATTGATGAAGGGAACCACAGGAACATTCCCAGCTCCTCACTGGGAGCAGGACAGCTCTTAGTGGTACTCCACCACCAAGAGTTTACGATTTATTGTTAAATGTGAATTTTTCCTAATAACAGCATGGTGTCACTTGAAAATTGTCCTCCAGAGAAAACAGACGAGAACAAGACTGTTCTTCCAGGCTCTATTCCATTTGTTCTGCCATGAAGATTCTTTGCTTGTATTTTTTCCTGTTTTCCAGACAAGAGATGCTCTGAAGCACCTGGTGCAGGTGACCTTTGGGCCTGAGGAGTGACTGATGTCTCTCTCCTATCCAAGTCTCCCCCAGCCCCAGGCTTTTCCCAATCCCAGTGTCCCCCCAGTCCCAGTCTCTCCTATCCCAGTCTCCCCAATCCATCTCCTCCAATCCCAGTTTCCCCCTATTCCAGTCTCCCTCATCCCAGTCTCCCCAGTCCCAGCCTCCCTGATCCTGGGCTCCCTCCGATCCCAAACTTCCCCCAGTCCTGAGCTCCCCCCATGCCAGGCTTTTCCCAATCCCAGTCTCCCCATAATCCTAGTTTCCCCCTTATCCCAGTCTCCCCAATCTCACTCTCCCCCACCCCAGTCTCCTCAATCCCAGGCTCTCCCCAGTCCCAGTTTCCTCAGTCCCAGTTTCTCCCCAGTCTCCCCAGTCCCAGTCTCCTCCCAGTTTCCCCAGTCTCCCCTATCCCAGTTTCTCCCCCAATCCCAGTTTCCCCAGTCTCCCCAATCCCAGTCTCTTCCCCAATCCCAGTCTCTTCCCAATCCCAGTCTCTTCCCAATCCCAGTCTCTTCCCCAGTCGCAGTCTCCCCAGTCCCAGTCTCTTCCCCAGCCCCCCCCAGTCCCAGTCTCTTCCCA